AGCAAGTACGGCAGAGCAACTCGGATACCTCGTACTAGATAGACTTATACGATACTACGGATTTCTAAAGACCTACATTACGGATAGAGACAAGCTCTTTATATTAAACTACTAGAAGACGCTTATAGCGACACTTGGAATTAAGCACAAGCTATTAACGGCATACTATCTATAGACAGACGGCCAAACGGAAGTTAAGAATTAGGCCTTAGAGGTATACTTACGGCACTACGTTAATTACGTACAAAACAATTGGGTATCGCTATTGCCTATAGCATAACTTGCACTAAATAACTAACAATCTAAGACTACGAAAGAGACACTATTCTTCGCTAATTTTAGGAAACATCCGCAGCTGTTCGGGGAACAGTATTTATAGTATCTATACGCGGATAAAGCGATAGTCGCTTTAGAGGACTTGAAGCAGGTATATAAGGAATTGCAAAGGGCAATTGCCGAGTCTTAAGAAAAGATTACGGGGCTATATAATGCTAAACGAAAAATGGCACCTTAGCTAAAAAAGGGGGATAAGGTCTACCTCCTAACAAAGAATCTAAAAACCCGGAGATCGACTAAGAAACTAGACTACGTTAAAGTCGGGCTATTTCTAATTAATAAGCCTAAAGGACTAGTTAATTACCGACTTAAATTACCGGACGACGCGAAAATCCACCTAGTATTCTATATCTCTATACTAGAACCTACAGACGCCGAAACACCGTATTAAGAAACATTTTACTTCTAACCTAAGGAAGAAAATGAGTTTGAAGTCGAAAAGATCCTAGATTAGTAAGGTTAGAAATACCTTATCAAATAGAAAGGATACCTACATTCAGAAAACACTTAGGAACCAAAAGAAAACCTACAGAACTGTTAGTAGATAATCAAAAAATATCAAAACCGGACAAAAAAGAAATAACTAGTATAGGAATTAAACCTACGACCTCTTAGACCCTATCGATTATAGCGCCTTAGAGTTCTTAACGACCTAGGGTAGTATAGCTCGAGGAGCGGGGACTCTAATAGCATACCTAGCAACTATATCTTTTGTAGCTAAGAATCATACTACTAGACTAACTAGCTAGAAGATAAAATAGACAAGAAACATTAAAAATATATACCTTTAGGACACTAGACTCTCGGCACTCCTACTAGGAATTTTAGAGGTAGGCTAGGACGTCCTATCTAGACGACTCTAGTTATAAGGCGACATCTATAATCGGCTATCTAGGGGAAACGGCTCGTTAGCAGGCAACGAGAATATTATCGGCTCTATAGGCGAAGAGCCTAGCTCTCTTTCGAGCTCCTCCGCCTGTTAAATAGAGGCTTCCTCTACCTTAAGAGCTTATACCTCCCGATCTTCCTTTATACGTAGCGACTTACGTAAGCGACGGACCTTTGCGCGATACTCGAAAAGCTTCCGCGTAAGGAGGTCTTCCTCCTCTTCGGCCGCTTCGAGATCTTTAGCTATCTTTAGGCGCGCCTTCCGGATTTTTTTATACTCTATACGAGTAACTTGTATATTATAGGACTAGCCGTATAGGGCGCACTCGGAGTAGCGGCCGGAACGGAGATCGACTTTATAGGATTTATCGGCCTGTTCGTAATAAAAGCAGCGGATCGGCATTTCGAGGCAGTCGGTAAGGATATTATTTGCGATATTTTCCTTACGCTAACGAGAAGACAAGTCCTTTAATAACTTTAGTATAGTAAAGAAGTTGGAATTAGAAAGTTCCGGAATAAGGGACTATCCCGCTTAAGGAGGGGGATAGTATTACAGATCTGATTAGTTAGAGTCCTTATATAATCTTAGAGCGACGCTAAGACTAGTAGGCTAAGCTATCGCTCTATCTTACTAGGAGCGATAGGAGCGGTCGAGAGCGACAGCGTCGCTTACGTCGCTTACGACTACAGACAAGATATCTCCTTTGTATTTAGGAACGCCGGAATGCCCTTATAGCTCGAGGCGTTTAACTTATGTTACCTACTTACTAATTGGAATTACCTTTATACCAATTATTCTATCTCTGCCTCCCGCTTATATTAGCCTCTCTAAAGAAGCCTCGGCTTGTACGTAATAAGAAGTTACCTAACGATCTGTCGCGAGTAACCGTAATATAGAGGTTAAAATCCCTAAGTAGGACTTAGTAGGTGTTCCCCTAGATAACTCTAGGTAGTCTTTCTAGGGTTTTTAGTTAGGTACTGCTTCTTAAGTCTAGTAGTAGGTTGTATATATAGTAGACTTAGAGTATACCTTAGGATGTCTCTACTTAAACTAATGTTAGGTCCCTATCCTCCTATAGTATAGCCTACTAGGTTCCTATATCTATCTCCTTACTAATATAGATATATGTCCTTAGGGCTCCCTAGTTGTAGATAATTAGGTAGTATCTTAGGTCTTTAACTATTGCTAGTCTCTTTATATATAGGTTAAGCTAGGGCTCTTAGATTGCAATAATATAATATTCTTTTAAGTTTAGTACTTAAAGGAAGCTCCTCTGTACCTTATCTTTACTCTTGTTGACATTGTACTATATAATGTTTAGTAATGTTATAATGTTTATTAGGTTTCATCTATATTATTTCCCTATAAGCTTTCCTTTAGTCTTCCCTTACTTTAGACTAATATTTAACTAAGCTTTGTCTGCCCTGCTTCCTTTCCTATAATGTTAAGGTATCTTAGTCTCCCTAGTTGTTAGTAACTCTTTTGTACTAGTAAGGCCCTGAATGTGAACCTATTATCTTGTCTAGACCTCTTTTATAGTACTTAGCTAGGTTGCTTCTATACCTAGCTGCCCTAGCTTGTTGTATATCTTTTTAGTATATTGATTCTAGCTTCCTTTACCTTCCTAGCTGCTTATATTCTTACTAGGCATTCCTTCGCCTAAGAGGGGTGTCTTTTAGTATAGTATGTATATCTTACTTCTCCCTTATATGCTTTACATTCTTTAACCTAGTAATCCCCTATATAATAGGAGCAGGTGTTAGTTGTCTTTATACACTTAGCTACTAAGTGTCTATAGTGTTAACATTTGAAGCACTGCATTATTCTATAGTTGCTTCTATATATCTCTGTTTCTAATCTTTTAAAGTCCTAGAATAACCCCTAGTCTAGCACTATATTGGCTTACTCTGCACTCCCTACCTAGATAATTAGGGAAGACTACTTCTTAGTCTCTTCGATTTTCCTTTTAATCTATGCTACTTTTGTGATCTTTAGGCCTAGGCATATAGCTTAGTTTTGTCTCTATAGGCTCCTAATATCCTGTTCTTCCTTAAAGCTTCTTATTATACTATAGGCTATAATTATAAATTGCTGTTAGGAGACCTTTGCTGTTTTCCCTATCTTAGTTGTCTATTCTTTTTATGTTTCTAGCTTCTTTTTGTCCTGCTCTTATACTATAAATAGCTTAATTACCCCTTTCCCTTCGTTCCTAGCCCTAATTACCTCTTTAACTGCAATTCTTTCTATAATCTCTTTCCCTATAAGTCCTTAGATTTCCTTTTACTCCTATAGGTCCGTAATATAGACTCTAACTACTGTCCTCGGGGGTTTTAGCGCCTCCTAACTAGCTACTGCTGCCTAGGTGCGGTAGTTTAGGCTTGTCTCTTATTGTTTCTTCGTAATCTTTGCTACGACTGTATTAGCTACCTTTGTAATTACGTAGCTTGCCTAGTTATAGATTGCTTTCAGTTCTCTAAGGAGTTCTAAGATTATTATCCTATATGCCCTCTTAGGGGTTCTTCTATCTTCCGCCTTTAGCACCTCCTCTGCCTTAGTATATAGTGCTTTCTATTCGTCCTCCCTTCCTTCTTAACTGTCTTCCCTTCGTCTCTAATTGTTCGCTACTATTTTAGGTATAGGATATAGTATCCGATTAGTGTTAGCTTCCCTTGCATTATAATTACATACCTAGATTTACTAGTAAAACGGATTATACTCTCGTTAATAGATACATTAGTACTAGGTACGACTACCTCGCGGAATTTGCTATATAAAATATTAGTAAGAGGTAGGATCTACGTCTAGCTAGGTAGGCCTCTTCTACTTAACAAGAGCGCGTTACTCTAGTACTATAAAGCAGCCTTAATCTATTTAAACCGCTATTTACTTATATAACCGATAATAGGATATAATAGCTAGTATCTATCGTCGCGCTAATAATCGGACTTGTCGGCTATTTAGATTACGGATATATAAATAATAATACCTACGAAGATCCGCATTATTAGCTTATCTACCGGCTTCTATAGATAGCTAGAAACGACGATCTTATTACCCTTCTTAAAGTCCGGCTTATTAATAGTATACTCGTTAGTATAGTTAATAAGTCGGTCTATAATCTTATCGGTCTAGAAGAGTAAGAAGAAGCGATACTAGACGTTGTCTAGTAACGATAGGTTACTACTTAGGTCTGTAGGCAAATTAACCTACCGCCGGTAAGGGATACTAGTTAGTAGCTCGTAGCGACCTTCTATTATCTCTCTATCCTTCGGATAATATAGTCCGCCTACCCTACTATCTACCTCTATATCTTCGATCTCTTTATCTCCTTCTACGACTTCCGTAGGCTTACTCTCTACGCCGCTTAGTATAGGCTCTCCTACCTTCTTAAATACCGGCTCCCTTCCTTTAGTTAGCTAATTAGTATTTAACTTATCCTCGTCTATTAATCTAGTAAATATATCTAGCTAATTATTATTACTATCGTCGTTATAACCCTCTTCTATAAAGGCCTAGAAGCTCGCTATATTGTTATATGCTTCTTAGCAGGATTGAGTTTAGAAATACGAAGGCAATTAAGTCGTATATATAGGCCGATAGCGGCAACAAGGGCTAAGCGCTTAAAGAGGCTTAACGCACCTATAAACGAGGCCAATTAAGGCCTGTTTATTCACCTACAGTCTACCTTCCGAAAGCTAACTATATAGACACTATAGGGGTTGATCCCTGTTTAACCGACGAACGCCGCTTAGCAACGAGTTATTACAGGGGATCTATGCCTTGCCCTTTGAGCACAGTCGCTTTCAAGCGACGCCTTTCCCACCCGTTCACCGCGAGCAAGGTGTACCTCGTCTAAATTGACAGTCCCCAGGCTCTGCTTATCTTTTCGAACCGCTCTACGCGCCCATCGCCCACCCGCAGACCTCCATGTAGACCAGGCAAGACCCAGGACCATGGCATACATACCAGCAAGCTGCAGGTGGTCTTTGTTCGGAGGACAGGTCCGAATCGATGCCCAGCCGGCCTTCATAATTACTACTTCGAGCTCGAGTCCGGACCGATCTCAAGGTTGATCGACTATTGTCAGTCGGGTCTGGCTTGTGCTTCCGAAACTGAGGTACGACGATACATGTTTCGAAAGAAGCATTTATATGCGGAGTTTTACAACGAGCCCCTGGCGAGTCTGGTATCATGGGATGGCTTCTCCGTACAGGAAATCAGAACCAGGCGCCTGTGGTTGTGTCCGAACCGGAAGCTCTTCGGTCAAACCCCTCTGGAATTCTATTGAACGGGAATAAGCAAGAAAACCTCGCTCATCACTCCTGTTACGATATACGTGAAATCTCTATCAAAACCGTTCTTTCCCCGCCCAGGATGCACAGCATGCCAGTGGCTACGTATCGCCCCAACGAAATCAAGCCAGGTCTCACCAACAAAAATGCTTCTTTGGGCAATTACTTCTCCGGGTGGCAACATATTCAAGGTATTCTGTAGGAAGAGTCTGCTGTCCCTATTTCCAAAGTCAATCTGAATACAAGCGACGGGTTGCCCCTGGCTTTCATGGGAGCGGAACCTTATTAGCTGTGGATCAACCCACGTCACGGCAGACAATATGCACTAGCTATGGCCTGTGGTACCAGTATAGCAGCGATCACAACTTTGTGTTGGGCCTGCCAGGTTATATGCATCTCACATGGCTATCGAAGCCCGTCGAGCTCCGTGCGATGCCGCGTGCCATAGTGACTCGGATGCTCGGCCTTCAGCTATCACATGAAAGTCCGATCCTTGCCTTTAATTGGGTGACGTATCGAAACCATCGACTTTCATCATTGCTGCATTTATTATTCTATAGTACACTTTTTGTCCATGCCAATGTGGTAACGGTCAACAAAATGCAAGCGTAAAAACACCTCTGCCATGCGTGTTCGTTTTAGGTAGCGCATATGCATAAAATCATGAAGCCGTCTGCGTTGTATCAAGATCCCATTATACTCCTTACACTTAGAAAGGTCGTGGAGAAGGCGTATCATCGTAGAATGTCCTCATGCCACCTGGCTGCCTGTGTGATCTCGTCTTGCTTCCTGTCCCTGTCCAATCAGGCGACCGCCGTCTTCTCGAGTCCACTGACATCAAAGGTAAATTGACATCTGTATTGGACGATGGCCTATTCTTTGGAGGAATGCCCGATGAAACTTGGCTCACAATGTGGGGCAATGGACGAGAAATACCCTTGTCCCGAACGCTCTCTTGTCGAACAATCTGCGGTTCCTTTCGCGGCCTATTGCTTCGGCTCATCTTTGTCTTTGCCTTTTGACTCTTTTGTCGCACAATCTCGCGGACACTTGGCTTAGGTGACTTCGGAGGAACAGGAGGAGGAATCTTCGGTGGTAGAGGCACTGAAGCTCGCGGTGGTGGGGAGGGAGAGAGGTGCGCTCGCTCCTCGACAGTCTCGCGGTGGACACCCAGCTTGCTCATGACCCTCGAATTCTTGATGACCGGCGCGATGCTCCATGCACTGAAGTGGCTACGTGCGCTTCGAGCGCTCCTTTGGCTCTGCGATTCTAGATCGGGAAGCTCCATCATCAGAGGGGGTCCTTCGCTGATATGCTGAGACATTCTGGTGTTGTTAGAAGTCTCTGGAGACCTCTTCGGACGACTTGCACTCCTGTTTGAGACGGTTAATCGAGTTCGCTCAAGAAGTCCTCGGAAAAGAGGCCGTAAGGTAGCCACAGATGCTGCAGAAATACCGAGACCACATTCGGTGATTGACCAAATGCATAGACCAAGGGCTGTATTGAAGAAGTTCGGTCCCGGCGCGAGGCCCTCGATGTATTGTATTCGGACCAGCGATACTATGCTTCCGCAACAACCGAGAAGTAAGACAAATCCCGCGCTGATCTTAGCAGGCAATGGCATGGTGGCTTTTGTAAGGACAAATATTGGGAGAATCGCGAAGGTCCAGTCCGTAATCGCGTTGATAATGCACCCAGCGAGCTGGATGCTATAGATTGAATCCTTGCCTAAGCAGACCTGAGCAATCTCGTTTTCGAGATACCGAGATGGATCGCCGCAGTTGAAAAGAGCGATAAAAAACATGAAGGTTCCGTATACTGTGTTTAAGATGACCGCTGTATAGACGGCGTATCGTTGCCAGCTTCTGATCACAATTCGTAGGTAGAAGATGCCCAACGATATCTTGAAGAATATCATCGCTGAGATGTATAAATCAAAACTCGCGACGACCATCTAATAACATTTAGCGTCGTCCAAATATCAAGCTTCGCAAGTTCGCATACCCCTACAAGCCTGCTGAGCTCGTCAAGATCGAGTTCATTTATACGCTGGGCTCCTCCAACGGTTTCAATCATAAAGACCACTGTGCAGTAGCCCGTGAAGATGAGCTATTGAAGCGTGAGCGATACATCAAGATCTGCAAACAGAAACTTACCGCCGCAAACAATAGGAAAGCATCGTCCCATCCGAACGACCTGATCAACGCAATGCGAACCCAAAGTCGTAACGAGAGAGTGACCCAGACACTGAGCAGGAAGATGGATGCGACGCCAAATACGCTGGCACGCTTGCTCTCGGCGGATGGAACGAAAAGTGCCATTAGGGTCTTCTCAGCAACACATTCTCAATGTGCTGCTTGATGGCCACAAAGAGCCGCGGAATTCGCAATAACACAATTGAGATCGCAAGATGCCTGAGAGAATCGTCCTCCGAAGTTGATCAAAAAGCATCGCAATGCAAGTTTGAGAAGTACCCAGTGGGCCAGATCTTCGTCTTTCCGGCGACTATAGCATACTTGCCGGCATAGACACTTGTGTCCGTCTGTACAATCGAAGCCTATCGCACGGCCCAGCCGTAATCCCGGATATAGAGCGCTTTCCTGGCGGTGCGTTGCCTGACCTATAGGCGGTCCAAGCAAGCATCCCTAGAGCTTTCGCGTGTCGTCTTAGGAGAATGGGGAACGGCTCAGCAGAGTGCTGACGAGAACGTTGTCGGGAGTATTGATTGCTGAGTCAGTTGTGGTTGTTTAGGGGGCAAAGTCGAATGAGAAGGAAGACGATATGCTAGGAATTATACATACACCACATAGGAGTGCGCCACTTGTTTGTGCTCCAGTGCGGGACTCCGGGGAGAATGCCACGAGGTGCAGCATAATGATCGTGGCGCCCACTGTAATATCGGCCGAATGACTCCTGGAGGTTGGCCACGCTCCACATTTGTTAGGACCAAAAGGTGTAGCATGTGCAATGAGGGCGGTGAGAGCCCGCTCAGAGATAGGTGATCCTTCCAGAAAGCCAATGATTGTTAGCCATGCTGTCTACCAGCGAGTGCGATCCGAGTGCTCAAATGGTCCGTACCGCAAGGCATATCATGCTTGAGAGGCCACGATTTCCTAAAGACGATGTCCTGACTCTGGAGGCGTGCACTGGCAGGCGGGGAGACCAAGCCTCGGTGTCACGCGCGGCAAACCATGTCGATAGTTGCACACACCCATTAGGCCGCTGCAGATCAGGATAGCGACGCGAATCGTGCAGGTCGATGAGACGCAGAACGAGTCAAGTCGAGGAACTTCAAAGTTTGAATTGAACTTGAATGCAGTGCACGGGCCAGAAACGCACGGACTCCCGCCACATGGCGCTTGCCGACGCCGACTCCGACTCCGACTCCGACAGACTGACATTGCCATTGCCACCAAAACATTGCGCAGAACATGTGCGAGGCGACAGTTGATATCAGCGCAGCAGGGCGCAGATCATCTTGCATCCTCTGAGACTTCGCAATATGGTCAAATATGCCGGCCGCTACAAGACGCTCAGCGCAGTCGCGTAACTCGAGCGAGAACACGACTGCTCGAGAGGTTGTTGCGAGCGATGGTCTTCCCGAAGAGGAGGCTGGCGAGAGTGGAGAATCCGTTGAAGACGTCGAAGACGAGGATGACGATGCGCAAGGTAAATGAAGGTGCTACCCAGCCTTCCAGCAATGTCAGTGCTGAATCTCAAGCCTCCAGATCTCGAGCCTGAGGATGAAATTTTCCCGCCGCCGGGGCTGAAGGAAATCTCATCACTCGCCTCTTGGACCGTAAGCACTGCAAAGCCAGGAAACGGCGTCGCGGCACTTCGATCGCCTGACACAACCACATTCTGGCAATCCGATGGCCCTCAGCCACATCTCCTGAGCATCCATTTCTTCAAATTGGTTTCAATAGTACATATGAGAATCTATCTCGACTTCATCAGTGACGAATCATACACACCCACCAAGATCCAGTTCTTGGCGGGCATGGGCGTGCACGATATACAAGAATTCGCCGAGATGAGCTTCGAGCAGCCAACTGGTTGGATTGATGTCGACTTCAGCAACGTTGGCCCCATTCAAGAGGACGATGATGATGACGACGGGTCTCGAGACATCGATTGGTCAAAGCGCCCCGTGCTGCGAGCGTTTTTGGTCCAAGTAAGGATACTCGAGAATCACCAGAACGGTAAAGATACGCACCTTCGCGCCGTTCAACTTTTCGCTCGAGACGACACTTACCAGCCACGAACGTTCATGCCGCCATCCGAAAGGAAGCCCAAAATGCGGATGCCAGCAGCGTCTGCCAAGAAAGCCCTCCGTACCCAGCCGAACAACATCACGCTCGCCTCGTGGATGCTGGAGCCTGACTTGAGGTGACGGGAATGGTGGATAGCAGATTAAAGAAAGTGTGAGGCAGCTCCGCGTTCACAAGCAGCGAGCGTCTTCTCTGGCACGTCTGAGATTGGAATGGAAGCATGTCCTTCTAAGCTTTCCAATCGAGAACAGAACCCACTCACCATGAGAATCGGACTGAACCGAAGCGCGATCTTAAGCTGTATTTCCCAAATCAGTCGTGCTTCAAGTAGGCTCGCACCCGTTGAGAAGATGGACATCACCTGAAACACCACGAAAGGGATTGAAACTAGAGGAGGCACGTCAGGGCGGGAACGTCCAGCTACTCACGTCGACCGAGATCAGCGATCGAAACAGTTTATTTTCGCCATAGTGGCAGAAGTGGTCTGGCTTTGAACTTTGATCGTGCTTCTACAGTTAATTTCAAGGCGATCAGCATTGCAAGCTTGGAGGAAGCGTTCGTCGAAGACTCGTGCAATATGCGAGAAAATCAACAACTCAGAACGGCGAGCAAAATGGCAGTGACATCAGGGTAGGCACAGTAGTGAGCTTGTCCAAGCAACGTTGAGAGCACGGCCGGCGTCAAGTCACGGATGGTGCCCCAAAACAATTGAGAATATAGCCACGGCATTGAGAAATGCGATCATGTAGCAATTACCTCTTATCGCTGCAATCCAGTCGCCTCAGACCTTTGCCCTAAGCATGTCATTCATTGAATGTTTGTCAGAGCACGGACCATATTTTTAGTCAGCCGGCTGCGCATCGATTCTCCGGCTTCCACGCGCGACGTAGCTCTCGTGGTCCAACTTGCAATGTCAACGGAACACAACGATGGACGACGCTATGGAGGAGTTTGACGCAGGCAAAGAGGAGTCGGGGGAAGACTACGACGAGAATGCCGATGAAGACTTCAATCCAGAAGATGAAGCCGCTAAGGGCAGCGACAATTCATCCTCATCAGAGGACGAGCCAGACGCAGAAGTCAAGCCAACCAAACGAGCTGCGAAACGCAAATCTCAGACAGCACAAGATGACTTAGACTCCGGCGACGAGGCAACGATAAAGGAGCGCAAATCAAAGAAGCGAAGAAAAAATGCTGCAGATGACGAGGAGAGCGGAGGCGAGGGAGGATTCATAAGAACAAGAGCGCAAAGACTTGTCGAAAAAGAAGAACGCCGGAACCGCAAAAGAGGGGCCAGGGAAGGCGCCGTTACCATCGATGTGGACAAAATATGGGCAGACCTCAGCAGCATTCCTGTCAATCGAACCGTTGTTGCTCCTCCCCAAGACGATGCAGAGCATATGGAGGTGGATGCGGAACATGAAAAGGAGAATGCGCATTCCACGAACGCGAACGACGTAATCACCATCAAACGAAAGGTCAAGTTTGCAGGAGAATTGAGAGAGATCGAAGAGCAGGTCTCCCGAAGCTCAAAGGAGGCCAGGAAATACTTGGCCGATCATCCAGAGGCAGATCCAGATCACCAAGCTCACGGGGTTGACTTAAACGGCCTGCAAAGGCCCCTCAAAAGGCCGTCGATGTTTGAGCCAAATCCTTCAGGTCTTGTCAAGGGCGTTCCACCAGAGAAGTTACGGCCTCGCGCGCCGACTAGACTGGATGTTCTAATGGCACAGAAGAGAGCAGAGGCAAAGGCAAGCGGCAAAATGAGTACTGTGCAGATGAGTCAACATGACTGGAAAGCATATGTTGCACAAAGCGGATATCAGGAAGAACTGGAGAAGTATGAGAAAAGCGACGCGCGATTCCTGGCCAAGGAGGCTTTCTTGGATCGCGCGGCAGGTGCAAGAGAGCAAGCTGCCAGAGATGCTAGAATGCGGTTGTAGCGTTCTACCGGAGCACAAGAAGGGCGCATGGGAACTCCCTTTCCAGATTCAGCGCATGAATATTCATGATACCCGGCCGTACGGCCACAGCAGCAGCATTGATTTTATAAAAGAAGATATTTCTATCATTCCATGTGGTCGATTTTTGAATCAATCTTGAATGGCACCGAGTGGCCATACGCTGGCAGTCAGTCTCACTCGTGCTCGAGAATTGGCCTCTTGTCAGAACATTCTCATCTTCTAGACCTCTTTTATTGCGCGAGGGCGTCAAGGATGCCGTCAGGTCATGCATTAAGAGTGCCATGCTAGTTTCCTATCCATGCTCTAGCTTTGCGATGACGCGCATCTCGTATCAGACGCGGCTCTTGAACTCTTTTGCAGCACTCTGTCCACGTTGGAAGCCCAAAGTCACCGAGTCGCGTACATCGGCAACTCTTGTAGTTTGCAGAGGCGTGGTGCAGTAGAGCGTGCAGTACTAGCGCGATTCTGCGAGCGGAGGTCGCGGAACGTGGAAGTCCCTTAGACGCAGATCCTACCTTTCGAAAGATCCCAAGTCAACACACGACTTGTCAGCAACACTCTTTTACGATCGACCATTTCTTGACCTTCCATCAAAAGCATCACACCGAGTTTGCGACCAGCTTTGGCGCCTTTAATCCTCCATCCGCCAGTGGCCGAGCAAGCGATACGTCTTTGCGATAAGGAGCTGATAAACTCCGGAACTTCATCTGGATCACGTATCTTACACCTTGTTGTACAAAATAGCACGTGAACTGGAGAAGCTACGAGCCATCGTCCGACAAGAAGATCAGTCTATCGACATACACTCACCAAGTTCTTCGCGAAACCACAAGCGGACAATCACATATCGTTTACCACTCTAGCCATCCACAAGCACGGGTTGCAGCTGAACAGGATACTCGTAAGCTCTGGCCCCGATTATCATCATGGTCCAAGACGTGGTGGACGAGAAAGAGCTTGCTCAGGCGAATGGTAATGGTCACGCGAATGGGAAGCCTGTGAACGGGGCACCTCGAGGTCGTGTACAAGATGAGGAGGACGAACAGACCGACGAGAATATATTCGTGTTCGTACCCAACTTGATTGGTAAGCACACTCCTGATACCTCTATGCGCAACCTCGATGTGAGCTTACAATCAAACAGGTTATGGGCGAATTGTGCTCTGCCTCGCGTCCCTATACTTCATGCCGTTGCACCCGAGACGATGCAGCTTTTTATACTCGATCTCCTGCCTGCTCGATGCAGCCGACGGCATTGCTGCGCGCAAGTATGAACAGAGCACAAGATTTGGCGCGGTACTTGACATGGTCACGGATCGATGCACAACTACCTGCTTGCTGGTATTCTTAGCTACTGCAAAGCCGGCTTACAGCATGATCTTTCAAGGGTTGATCTCCTTAGATCTCGCTAGCCACTACATGCACATGTATGCGACGTTGGTCATGGGCGGCCAAACACAGAGCCATAAAAATGTGGATGCGAAGAGGAGCTACATCATGAATCTCTACTATACCAACAAGGTGAGATGTCGCTTCGGCTGCATTTGCTGAAGAATGAAACGCTAACTTGGTCCAGGCCGTTCTCTTCCTCACCTGTGCTTTGAATGAGCTTTTCTTCATTGCGCTGTACTTGCTTTGCTTCAGCTCACCCATCATCACTCCGGCGCTTAAGTGGCCGACGGAGACGACGCCGACAGTACCACTCCAGCCAACGCCATCTCTACTTTTCCCTAGTCCATTCAGCGCCGCCGCCATGGAGATGGCTCGTGCGAACAAGATGGACTCGACAGTACCCTGGATTTTGACCATTGCGAGCGCTCCAGTGATGCTGTTCAAGCAGTGGGTGAACATCATCCAGCTGGTCAAGGCAAGCAAATGGCTTGCGGAGGGTGATCGCAAGGATAGGAAGAAGCTAGGTTTGCCAAGGAAGCGAGGTGCAAAGACGGCCAAGAAGGACTTGTAATGATATTCGATGGTAGCGGAGCAGTGGAATCTGATTTCTTCGGTGTATAGGTGGCATAAATTGTGCTTGTCTTTAGCGTGGTGTTTGGGTCTAGGCCGTACCAGGCAGACAGGTCAGCTCCCACGGGAGAGCGCTATTTCGGCCAGTGTAACAAATGATCTGCCATGGAATTCCCTAAGGCTCGTACCCCACGGCATAGTTGTCTAATGAATGAATGTTGCAACGAGGCCTCAGGCTAGCTCAGTGCCGATATGTGACTTGCAGAGGCATGCATCATGCGCAAGCCAAGGGCTGTCGGAAGATTTAGCATGCGTTTCACGCTCCGTCCCAAGTGGTGCATTTCTCGCTCCCTCGAAGGAGCTGTGTGCTGGAAGGAGAGCTTCGGCCGTCGTGGTAACTTTGCGAATATCTGGCGCTCTCATCAGCTCGTCCAAATCACGATCTTCAAAGCCCCGATTTTTTCTCGTAACTGCCGCAATGGAGAAAGAAAAGATTCATGTCGTCCTTGTATATACAAGCCGGGCTCAGCTTCAATCCCGTGAAGTCTCAGCACGGTTTCCATCCGTTGCGCCGGTGTATCTGCTCGCAACATCGTCCCGCCTTCGTTCTGAGTGCCCCTAAAATTCCGCAATGGTATCGCCCTTAAGCTTTCCTCGCATGTCCCATTTGCCCTGTGTGTTCATCAGCTCGCCATCTCGATTCTCTAAGCCCATTTCTGAAACTCACATCTGTTGTCCATGCGAGATATAATGCGCCAGCTGGAATCGCGATAACGTAGGTGAAGGTCAACCAGGCGGTGCGCGGTGTCCAGCGGAAGTACTCGTGTCGCTTCACATACATGTCTACGTCCTCCGTCAGTCTCCCCAATGCTCGCCGAAGTTGTCTTCCTTCTTGCAAAATCTCCCATAACGTCTCAAAGATCTTTCCAAGCTCTTTCAATCCTTCATCGGGATGAATGTATGGTGTACTCACTGGCATATTTGACCAGCGCCGGGTCCATGTGGATACCTGCAAGACTGTGTCAGCAATAGTACTAGCTATTTTGCGCTGCGCGGATTCATACTGTTGTGACCCGCCATACGGCGGAATGAAGGGCGCATGTTTGCTGTGTTCGTCTGGGTCTGCAGTGGTTATCCTCAATAATGTCGGTTGTGAGGTCGTTACTTCATGATCCCGGGCCGGGACTTCCCAGCGCGGGCTCACCCGCCTGCTTGTCACATGATAGCTCGAAAGAAAGAAAGCCTCGGCCTCGGAACGGATGCTGCGCATACCAAACGACCAGGACCGTTGTTAGAGGAGTCGAATGCTACCTTGCGATCGATACATAATTTCCACTTCTGCCTGTTTCTCTCTCTCTCTCTTGTGTTGACATCAAATTGTTGTGAAAATGGCAGAAACGACAGCAGCAGCAGCCATTGAGAAACCCAAGATTACACTGTACTGGTGAGTCCATCAAACATTAATTGAGCTACATGTATCATTGAAGGTTTCGCGATCTTCGCGTCATCTGCACCTAATTCGGAAGCTTCGAGGCATCCATGATGCATTAGAATACATGTATTTAGAAGCTCGAGCATGAGCACTCACTCCACGCAGCTGGAAACGGAACACTCCCATCTGACACGCTGATAGGCTAGAAAAGTCTCGGTCGCAGCGCATAGTATGGCTTCTCCAGGAGGCCAAGGGTGTCGATCTGGAGATCCAGATTTTCAAACGTGGAAAAGACATGCTTGCACCGCCTGAATTGAAGAAAATCCATCCGCTGGGTAAGGCCTATGATGGTCCAAAGGCAGCAGAATGAAGAAATGACAGTGCTAACTCTTGCTCCAGGGAAGTCTCCAGTGATCTCAATCAAATCACAGAACACGCCGAATGGTTTGGTGCTCAGCGAGTCGGGCGCACTCACCGAATACGTAGTGGACCACTTTGCTCAGCATCTTGCGCCCAAGAGGTAACACTAGCACTCCTGATATCGGTTGGAGACATGATGGCTGACATGTGACCTCCATTCAAGGTATCAAGAAGGTAAAGATGGCCAGATTGGCGGTGAAACCGAGGAATGGCTTCGATATCGCTTGTACATGCATTACGCCGAGGGTTCATTGATGACTCTCCTCCTCATCGGCCTCTTCGTTGACCGTAAGTCATGGCTGGACAAAGTTGAAAGTGCAATGTCTAATGAACTTCTCTCAGAAATCAAGAATGCTCCCGTGCCGTTCTTCATCAAGCCGATAACAAGAACGATTGGGTCTCGTGTCGAAGGACAGTTCTTGAACCAGAACTACGCAACGCACTTTGCATTCCTCGACTCGCAGCTTGCATCATCGCCTGGTGGAGGACCATATATTTGTGGCACTCAGTTGACTGCGGCCGACATCATGCTTTCATTCCCGCTCATAGCTGGGAAGAGCAAAATTGACAAGTCAAAGTACCCGAAGCTTGGGGCGTACATGGAGTTGTTGGAGAAACATGAAGGCTACCTCAATAGCATCAAGAAGATTGAAGAGGTGACGGGGGAGAAATTTGCTCCAGTAAGTAAATTGTAAATATCTTTACATATTGATTCGCTGACATTCAGACTCTTCGTGAATAGATGCTGTAGAGTGGTGACAGCAATTTGAATCCTCATCACTATACAAGCCGCGTATTTCAACGGAATCGCCATGTCTTAAATAATGCAGTGCATCGTGTTCGCCTCCAAGTCTTCGCTGGGATCCGTGTTCGACGATGTTGATTATGATCCATGAAGCACGTCTCGAAATGCCGAGATTATCTCTATATAAAAATAATCTGTTCGATTGGACCCAAATGTTACTTCGTAGATAAGGTTTGTTTCCACATCGTGATTTGAAAGTGCACTTGCATTCTGCCTACGCAGACTCCCAGATTCTATGCATGAGGCTGGCAGAGGCTGGTTTTTCTCAAGTCCGTGGTTAGCGTTCTGCGATCAAAAAGCCAAAAAGTCTCGCTCAGTCACCGTAGCTAGGGAAGAATCACTTCAGCAGGATCGATGGTGCGCGTTTGTGGCCACTCATCATTCAGCTGGCAGTCCTTCATTCGGCCCTACAAGTCGCTTTCGTCCAGTCGAGCACCGCAATGGACTGAAGCTCAGCTCAGCTGAAATCCGAGTCGCCGTCATGCTACCCGCCGACAAGATCGACCCAGTGCTGACAATTCAGGACAAGTCAGGAACTCAGCGGCATCGCGCAACCTGACCTGATGAGAGCCTGACCGTCCTGCGTCCAGACTTCCGAGCCATGTGGCGCGGGTTGTGTCTGCGGTTAAGTTTCAGACAACCCCAGCGTTGAGTGCTTCCAGTCGTTGCAACACGATCTCCTCCTGGACTGCGAGAGCGCAATTACAACAAGGTCACTCCTGAGGCACCTGCACCGACTTCTCGCCCGGCTAGCAGTGTCGACCGCAATTACGCATCAACAAGATTGCTTTCCGCTTCATACGCCCGAAAACTCGAGCCGATCGGATGCAAAAGGTATTGCTACACCCGAGTTCTTGCTTTTGTTGTGTCTGGCGCTTGGAGAATCTCGCCGTTCCTGAGCGGAAGCGAGAATGAGGTCATAGAACTCGGCGCATAGCTGTTTGTTCGCTCAGCAGTTGGACTGCGTTGTCAGCAAGCCGCGAGTGCGGCCCTCAATCGCCCGGATTCGCGGGCTAAATTGCTTACTGCAGCATGCAAGACATTGTGGCTTACATCACACATCATACTCCACGTACAGCAGAGCACAAGCTAATGGATTCTAGGCGCTGCGTGTATTGCATTGCTTACAGGAAGATTAGAGCACTGTGCAATCGAGAAACCGCAGCCTTGCCTAAAGAGCATATCTGAAGCGTAACCTGACGCTCATGCCCAGAAATTTCCCTAAAGAATTCGTAGCTGACACAAAATTGTCAAATTTTGGACCAGAGCTTGATCACGATGGTTCTGGTGATGGTACAAGCTCGGTCGGCATTACAAACGAGACCGTCGGCAAAGGCTCGCAGATGGACGCTTCAAGTAGGACTCCATCGATTGCATGTACCCAAGACAACGAACACGACTTAGACTCAACCAAAAGAGAGACAGCTGGAACTCGACGATCCAACCCAACCCAAGACGCATCACGACTGCAGGTGCCTGACAGTGGCAAGGACGTCAACGACAGGCGACCTGTAGAAGCTTCCATCTGGGCCTGGGACACTCCTTTACCTTCCAATACTCATTCAGATCCAGATTCATATTCGTTCGAGCCCCAAGGTGAACTCTTGCAGGAGAAAGTGACTCGTCGGTTTCCTGCCGAAGCCAGCATCCCAACTGCTGTGGTAGATTCGAGTAGCAGCTGGAGTATTTCTAAGCTGGACGGAGGTGCCGACAGCGAAGGGTTTGCTTTACCCCGTCGGCCGTCAGGCAACGCCTCGAGTACTGCAGGTACTAAGAGAAAATCAGCATCGGACCAACCGTCCCTCATGTCCAAGCGTGCATCGCGTACGATGTCTGAGTCGGGGGACGATGCAGGCTCTCCAGCGGATAATTTGCCTCCTTTACAAAGCTCACATGCTCAGATTGGACCTACAACTCGTGCTAGAACTGGTACTGATCGCCCTCCAGTTGGAACTCGTCATCAAAGCATCGATTCAATACGACCTTCATTATCCATAACTGGCGGTGGCCCGCAACGTGGCTTCTCTGATCCTGGCGCACCAATGGTCCTTCCGGCTCGTAAGGTCTTTCCCATCCAGATAGGGGACAGACTGTTCCGACTGTCAGGTGCCTCAATATCCTCTGACGGTAAGCGGATCTTAGCTCTCACTCGTCATTGCACTCACTGATTGAACCTTAGCTCCGTCTTACTTTTCGCAATTCTTTGAAGAACAACTCCAGAACGGTGACGGGGCTGACAGTGTTAGGACCTTGTACATCGACAGAGATCCGGCAACATTCGAAGATATCTCGCTACATCTACAAGGCTATCACATCGAACCGAAAGACACACAATCATTTTGCAGACTCTTTGCAGACGCTCAGTTTTTCAGCTTACCTCGTCTGACCGCCCAGCTCTTCTCGTCCACGATATACATCCGCATCGGCGATTCAGAGTTCCAGATACCGCGAGACCTCTTCAGTAATCCAGGAGATTCGCCAAATTACTTCTCACTCGGCTTCTCAATCTTCTTCACATCGCCAACGGAGGTCTTCCCTGGGCTCTCACAGCGCACACTGATAAGGCCGCCGTCCATACTGCCTCCAAGTGTGCCGAATAGGTCTGCCAAGACATTTGCCGATCTTCTGCACGTGCTCAAAGGTTATCCGGTCGAGGTCCGCAATGAACAACATCGTCAGGAACTATTACGCGATGCGCGCTATTACCACTTGAAGGGTCTAGAGCAGCGCCTTATCCCACACAATATCACATTTAACCTGGGTAGACAAAAGTCAGAGATCCTCATCCGGCTGGAAGACATTAGGACCTCTGGTGTCTCATTTGTGGCTGATAGAGACAGTGAGGGCGGTTCAGCGGCGGCATCACCCACGAGCAGTACGGCATACAGCATAGCGAACGGGCCTGGATGGATTCATTACCAGCGTCCGTATGTGGATTCGGAGGCGTACAGTCTGATAGTGGAGATTGGAGGTGAAGAGAACACCATCTTGACGGTAGAACCACGTTCGCCCTCATCTCTCGCTCGTATGGCTCGTGCAACATTTCACAGACAGACTTTGTCGAGAATTACGAGGTTATTCTCGGTCATCGCAGACAAGATGAACCTGCCGATCACTCAGCCTCTAGGGTTGATGATGCTTGAGCGCGGCGCAGGGGTTGCAAGCTTGCCAGTCAGTCCTCGAAACACGGGCATGAGCGAAGAGAAGGTCAAAGTCCGAATTGGGCGTGACGCGGATGTGGTTGTCGATGGAAACGAATGGACAGTCAGCGGTGAGGCAGAGGAGGTAACAGAGTCTCCGATGGAGCTGGATACCGGCCACGAAGCTGCAGCTACTAGGAGATCTAAAAGGCGGAGAAAAGCAGCAGAAGAGCGTCAAGAGGTGGAGGAATGGATAGTGAGCAAAGCGCAATGGCGTTTGAGAGTGCAGCCAAGGAGTGGCGGCGCACAGAGTGGCAAAAGTGGCGCGGAAGTCATTCTTGCAGCGGTCAAGATTCAAGGATATTCCATTGAAAAAAGCAGGAACGCGGAGAGGGCGTTTCTCACGTAGGGTCTGCTTCTCAGCGATGTGTAGTAGTATTTCTTGGGAACCAGGGAAATGATAGATTCGGGTGGCAAGAGCGTCGAGCGATAGAGATGGTACTCTTGTCCCGACTCAGAGCGGAGCGAAGGAGGAGGCCGGAAGAGCAAAGACTGTAATGAGCAAGCCTGAAGGGTGCACTGCACCTTCTGCCGAGAAATTGGCAAGCTCTTTGAGCCTCTTTGCTAGCGTGCGCATCCCGGAACTACCGAAGCAAAGCGAGTTGTTCTATATAATGTTAGAATAACCCGAAAACAAGTGCTGGGACTGACCGAATCGGGCGAAACGAGAACGAGGAGAACGCGGGGAAATTACGTGCGGGAACTTCAAAATTCGCGGCTACTCCCGGGCCTCGCGGCCGCCTCGCGAACGGGTATAGATCGTCTTCCTTACGGGGAAATTACGTACGGGAACTTCAAAATTCGCGGCTACTCCCGGGCCTCGCGGCCGCCTCGCGAACGGGTATAGATCGTCTTCCTTACGTAAGCGTAATATATTTATATAGCTCGAAGAGCTATAAGTAAAGGCCGAAGAGCTATAAGTAAAGGCTAAGGCGACGAGCCTAATCTAAAACGCCTAAAGTAATTTTAATCTAAAATACTTATAGGAATTCTAATTTAGAATACTTATAATACTAAGTACTATTTAGAACGCGTATAGTAACTCTAATCGGGAGCGCTAATAGTTAGTACTACTATCTATAACGCTTATACTAAGTTTTATTTAGAACACGCTATATAGTAATTCTAATCCGAAACGTATATACTAAGTCCTATCCGGAACGCGTATAGTAAGTACTATCCGGAACGCGTATAGTAAGTACTATCCGGAACGCGTATAGAAAGTCTAATTCGGAACGCTAATAGTAAGTACTATTAAGAACGCTTATAGTAAGTAGTAGTATCTAAAATACCTATAGTAAGTACTATTTAGAATACTTATAGCAAGTTATATCCGAAACGGTTATAGTAAATACTACTAAAAACGTTTATAGCAAGTACCCTATATAACGCCTACTACGAGTACCCTATAAAATGCCTATAGCGAGTACTCTATAGAATATCTATAGCGAGTAGTACTATCCGGAACGCGTAGAATAAGCCTTATTTTAAACGCTTAGTATAGTTAGTTCTATATAGACCGGAACGTTTCGAACTGTTTATAGTAAGTACCTTATATAACGCCTACTACGAGTACCTTATAAAACGCCTATAGTAAGCACTCTATAGAATATCTATAGCGAGTAGTACTATCCGGAACGCGTAGGATAAGCCTTATTTTAAACGCTTAGTATAGTTAGTCCTATATAAACCGGAACGTATATAGCAAGTCTAATCCGAAACGCTTATAGAAAGTCTTATCCGGAATATAAAAAGTAAGTCTAAGTCTAATTCGAAACGAAATGCTTTTATTAAGTACTATCCGGAAGGCCTATAGCGACGCAACGCTTATAGCAAATACTATCTAAAACGCCTATAGTTAAACTATCCTAAATAGCATTCGAACTGTTTATAGCGAGTACCCTATATAACGCCTACTACGAGTACTCTATAAAACGCCTATAGCGAGTCCTCTATAGTATACCTATAGCGAGCAGTACTATCCGGAACGCGTAGGATAAGCCTTATTTTAAACGCTTAGTATAGTTAGTCCTATATAAACCGGAACGCGTATACTAAGTCTAATCCAAAACGCTTATAGAAAATCTTATCCGGAATATATAAAGTAAGTCTAAGTCTAATCTAAAACTAAATACTTATATTAACTACTACGAACTATTTATAGCGAGTACCCTATATAGCGCCTACTACGAGTACCCTATAAAACGCCTATAGCGAGTACTCTATAGAATATCTATAGCGTACTGCTATCTACAACGCCTATACTAAGTTTTATTTAGAACGCGCTATATAGTAATTCTAATCTAAAACGCTTATAGAAACTCTTATCCGGAATATATAAAGTAAGTCTAAGTCTAATCCGAAACTAAATGCTTTTATTAAGTACTATCCGGAAGGCTTATAGCGAGTAGTACTATACGGAACGCTTATAGTAAATACTATCTAAAACGCCTATAGTTAAATAGTATTCGCACTATTTATAGCAAGTACCTTATATAACGCCTCCTACGAGTACCCTATTAAACGCCTATAGCGAGTACCCTATAGAATATCTATAGCGAGTACCCTATAGAATATCTATAGCGAGTAGTACTATCCGGAACGCTTATAGTAAATACTATCGAAAACGCCTATATTCGAACTACCTATAGCGAGTAACCTATATAACCTCTACTACGAGTATCTTATAAAACGCCTATAGTAAGCACTCTATAGAATATCTATAGCGAGTAGTACTATCCGGAACGTATAGGACCCTATAAAACGCCTATAGCGTACTACTATTTATAGCCTATACTAATTTTTATTTAGAACGCGCTATATAGTAATTCTAATCCGAAACGCTTGTACTAAGTCTTATCCGAAACGCGTATAGTAAGTCTAATTCGGAACGCTAATAGTAAGTACTATTAAGAACGCTTATAGCAAGTATGTACTAAGTCTTATCCGGAACGCGTATAGTAAGTCTAACTCGGAACGCTAATAGTAAGTACTATTAAGAACGCTTATAGCAAGTAGTACTATCTAGAATACTAATAGTAAGCACTATTTAGAATACTTACAGCAAGTTATATCCGAAACGCTTATAGTAAATACTACTAAAAACGCTTATAGCGAGTAGCAATATTTGAAACGCTTATAGCGGTAACTATCCGAGGTATCTATAGCAAATAGTACTATCCGGAACGCTTATAGTAAATACTATCTAAAACGCCTATATTCGAACTACTTATAGCGAGTACCCTATATAACGCCTACTACAAGTACCTTATAAAACGCCTATAGCGAGTACTCTATAGAATACCTATAGCGAGCAGTACTACCCGGAACGCGTAGGATAAGCCTTATTTTAAACGCTTAGTATAGTTAGTCCTATATAAACCGGAACGTATATAGCAAGTCTTATCCGAAACTAAATACCTATATTAAGTACTATCCGGAAGGCTTATAGCGAGTAGTACTATCCGGAACGCTTATAGTAAATACTATCTAAAACGCCTATAGTAAATAGTATTCGAACTACCTATAGCGAGTACCCTATATAACGCCTACTACGAGTATCCTATAGGACGCCTATAGCGAGTACTTTATAGAATATCTATAATACTAAGAATAAGTCTAATTTAGAACGCTTATAATACTAAGTACTATTCGGAACGTATATAGTAAGTCTAATCCGGAGCGCTAATAGTTAGTACTACTATCTATAACGCTTATACTAAGTTTACACGCCCGGATTTGATAGTAATAGCCGCGGCGCCTAGAAGTTATAATATTGTAAGGCCCGCCGTCCGCGTCTGCGACGCGGACTAGGGACTAGTTAGCAATATTATTATTAATAATCTCCGGGCTTTAGCTAAGCTTGCTAAGATCGCGCCTTCTATATGTTAGGAAATAGCTAAGACCGTTTAGGGTAGGGACTAGGGGGAGCCCCTGCTATAATAGCATAATAATAATCCCTACGGAAATCGCCTAGTATTACTTAACTGTAGTGTTATAGGTTTATAGCCCCTAAGAAATAGAGGTTGTGTATATAGTATATTATACTAGTGTACACCTATAGATACATATCGGGTATACCCGAATACTAGGATATCCGAGCAATATTAAGCAGCTTAGCGGGTTGTAGGCGGGATATTAGTGTATCCGATAACTCCGCCTTATATATATATAACGAGCTCGCCTAAAAGGGTCGTATACATAGTGTATTACAGAGCGTGTACACTATCTACAGGTTTGTAGACCCTATTACTACTCGACTGTACGGCCTGTGCTAGCCCCTCGCCTCGACGTTACTACTTCCGACTGTAAGGAAGTGTCTGCGCGCTACTATCGAACAGACCGTTAGTGCGCGCAGGCTGCAGCAATATATCTTGCACTGCCTAACCCTACCTCCTATTAGGCTTGTAGGCATAAAGAATCAAACTGCGACCGAGTGCACGTAATAGATAGATTAGTAATTAGGGCTAGCTTCCGAACCTTCCGACTAGCTAATTACAAACACACCTAATAATTCTTCGCCTACAAGCCTAAGAACAAGCTATAGCAAACTAGCCTACGATATACTACTTTTTCGCGACTATACAAATATAACAATCTAAATAGCGGAGATTGTAGCCCTACTAATTACGCTTTATTCTACCTACTAAAAAAGTCTATGCGACGTTAGCGCGTTAAGTTTTCGCTATTCTGCTAAGCCGACTCGACTATAGCTATCCGGATTGCTAGGCGGCTAGCTATACTGCTAGAAACACCTTAATATAAAACACACCGCATCGCCTAGCTAACACTTAGAGGTCCTTCTCCTGATCCCGGCTATTATTATTTAGGTAGGCGAAAATTCCGTCCGACGTCTACTAACCGCTTTATAGCCTTCGAGGGCAATCGACAACCTTCCTATAGCCGACTCGATACTTCGAGGTCCTTCGTAGACTATTTCTGAACACCTTTTATATACAGTATAAGTCTACCCGAGGTATAGTTGTTAAGTTACTGCTATATAGCAGACGCGACTCTAAAGCCAAGCTTAAAACACCTAAAAGTCGCTACTAGTACCGCTACTACTACCGCTGCTACTACCGCTACTACTATAGCTGCTACTATAGCTGCTACTATAGCTGCTACCGCTACTAATATATCGAGCGACGATCTATCCTCCTTAACCTCGGTTCTACTATCTAATAATAACCTAGTCGGTAGTGCTGTCGCCTATAACTATAATAAGAATATAACCGGCCTAGACGACGACGATACTGCTTTGCCTAGAGGACCTAAGGAACAGACTGTTCTTATAGGCGTACAGACCGATCTACTAATCTATCTAAGCAGCGGCGGCATTCTCTCTAACCCTCTAGATGAATTAGTTAGACTAGCCGGGATAGATAAGATTAGTAACTTTTAGGATAAGATATCCGTAGATAAAGACCTTAGCGAGGACGACGAGGAGATGTCTAACGATAAAGAGGACCTCGAGGCTCGCGATAGTAGTAAAGAGGAATTAGACGAAGAGGCTGCTATAGAACAGCGCCGAGCAGCGACTAACGAATAGACTAGGACAACCCTTAAT